TTAAGGTGAAGCTAGTAAGCATAATGACACATTGGTGAGCATAATGTACTATATACAGAGGTTGATTTATAATGATGTGTGCCTATGACATATATAATGTTATACTCCAATGTTCAATTAAAACTTTTAATATGTGAGTGCCTCCCTGGTGGTGCAAGGGGTTAAGTCTCAGGACTGAATCTGTCCCAGCCTCTGCAACTCTAGAGTTCAGTCCCCAGCCAGGGAAGCAACCCACATGGCTATCTCATCCACTGCTCCCCTCAGCAATATGCTTCAGTCAGTCCACTTGTTCTGTTCCCCACTCTTTCTCTGGTGAATCCTCTCACCATAAGTAAATAAATCTTTTTTTTTTAAAGCACCTTTTAATACGTGAAGTCTCTCCCTTTTTTTGGCTGAAGGTTTGTTTTGGAGAGTGCTTAATGTAATCATCAGAATTTAGAAACATTAGAAACAAAATTTTCATCTCTAAATCCTGATGTTAGCATTTTTTTTTTAAAGATTTATTTATGTGTGCATACAGAACTGGGTACAGGCCAGAGGTGCAGGGGTGGTGAGAGAATTCACCAGAGGCAGAGTCAGGAGCAGAATAGGCAGATCGTCGAAGTACACTGCTGAGGGGAGCAGCGGGCCTGTCAGAAGTCTGCTGAGCCATGTGGATCGGCGGAGATACGACTTACGGGAAGTGGCTTTAGCTTCTTAGTGCAGTGCTTTAAACTGCTGTGCCACCAGGGAGGGCCGTTAGCATTTCTTATAACTGCTAAGTACATTATATTAATAGATTGCATGTTTTTCCTTATCTTATTCATGGTACTTGGACTTCCAGTTTTGGAGAATGTTACAAGGGGTCTGCTGTGAACATTTTTGTATGAAGTTTTCTTCCTATATATTTTCTTTATCTCTGTTATATATAATGCTGTTTGTGAAATCCCAGCATCAAAGCATGGTGGCTATATGTTTAACTTTTAAGAAACTGCTAACACTCTTAAAAATGATTTCCCAGACCCTCCCTAGTGGCCCAACGGGTTAGGATGCAGCACTGCAAGCTAGCCACAGCCCCTTCAGTGCGAGTTCAATCCCCCACCCTGGAGGTGATCCACATGGCATGGCTGACCTCTCCTGACCCATCAGCTGCTTCCCTTAGAAGTATACTTTGTCGATCTGCCTATTCTGTTCCCCACTCTGTCTCTGGTGAATCCTTTGCCATCCCTGCACCTCTGGCTTGTACCCCTGTTCTGTATGCATAAATAAATCTTTAACAATAAGATTTTCCAACTTACTGCTGTCACCTCACGAGTTTGAATAACAAGAAAGGGAGAGGGGTAGAGACAGGAAAGAAAAATTTGTAGGTGAAAAACCTAACTAAACCTCCCGCAGACTTGCAGAGCTAAATCTATGCTGTCTGTTGTTTTACCTACCTAAAATGAAGTCAGGCATCCCTTATTTGTGGGCCCAGCCCTTTTCTCAGGGTATTCCTACCTTCTTGTTGGGCTCCCATTTTCTTGAGGCATAGGAGGTCTATGTTCAGTGCTTTCCCCATTCTATGGGCAGTCTCATATTTAGAACTAGGTTCAGAGAAAATGAACAAGTCCTTGGGCAAGTATATGCATGGGAGGGTGTATTACTGTGGATGTGTTATCCTATGTTACGAGGTAGGGTGGCATGACTGGGGCTATTGCTTGACTCCATAATTCCAACTAATCAAAGCAAACTTTCTGCTTTTCTTTACAGGTAAAGTATTCTAGGTAATTTTGTTATTCCAGCCATAATGTCTGCCTGCTGTTTTTAGCAGATATTGTTTTCCCAGTGTGTTCCTCATACCAGGACTTTTGCCATGATGAGAAGGCCCCCTGACATTTTAGCTTGACCAGCAGGAACCCTGGTCACCAAAACAATAGCCCCAATAACAAGGAAGGCTGAGGATCCCACACATTACCAGCAATTGCTGACAGTTTCCCTGTTCATATCCTTTCAAATGTTTGGTGGTGATAGTCTTTTGAATATATTGCCATAATGTGGGCTTGAAGTAATCTTTTGTAGTGTTTTGAATTTTTATTATCCTGATAACTAATGATTTGAACCATCTTTTCATGTGTTCAGTGACCATTCATAGTTTCCTTTGTGAAGTAGCTATGTGTGTCTTTTGCTCATTTCTCTATTGGATTGTTTGCTTAATATTCTTGATTTGTGGTTCATTATGTATTCCATATATGTCTTTCTCAAGCACATTTTTGCAAATATTTCCTCCCAGGCTGTGCCATGTATATTCACTTTCTGATGAAGCTGTTAATTTTGAATAAGTATAAATTATTTGTGATGTGTAGTTTAGACTAAGATTCATTTGTAATAGACAACTAATTCATGAGGCGGGAGCTAGGAATATACAATGGAGCAAGAAAGTCTCTTCAGTAAATCCTGGAAAAAATGAACAGCTACTTGCCAAAGAATGAAACTAGGTCACTATCTTACAGCATATGCTGAAATTAATTCAGATGGATTAAAGACTTGAATATAATACCTGAAGTAATAAAATACATTAAGGAAAACATAAAAGTGATAACTTTTACATCAACCATTGTAATGTCCTTATGGGTTGTCTCCCAATAGCAAGAGAAACAAAAGGAAATACAAACAGGTGGAACTACATCAAGCTAGGAAGCACTGCACAAGGAAAGAAAACATCATTAAAATGAAGAGGCATTTTCATTATCTGAATTACCTACTATATAGGAGAAGATATTTTGTAAACTGTAAAACAGGCAAGGGGGGTTAATATCCATAACTCATATAACTCAACACTCAACCATGTAACCCAATTAAAATTCAGCAAAGGATCTGAATTGGCATTTCACCAAAGAAGACATGTGGTAAAAGGGCATATAAAAAGATGTTCTAGGGCCCTCCCTGGTGGCGCATTGGGTTAAAGCACTGCCCTGGGACACTAAAGCCACTTCCGCATGAGTTCGATCCCACCTGCCCTGGAGGTGATCCATATGGTGCAGCATACCTCTCCTGACCCGCCTGCTGCTCCCCTCAGCAGTGTACTTCATGGATATGCCTGTTCTGCTCCCTGCTCTTTGTGTGGTGAACCCTCTCACCGTCCCTGCACATCTGGCCTGTACCCCATATCTGTATGCATAAATAAATAAAATCTTTTAAAAAAATGTTCTATGTTGCTTATCATCAGGTAAATGCAAGTCAAAACCAATGAGATTTTCTTCACGCCAGCCTGTTAATGGCTATTAACAAGTCAAGAAATAATGAATGTTGGTGAGGATGTAGAGCACAAAGACCCTAGTACAAACAATGTTGTTGGCAGGAATATAGGTTGATGCAGAACTATGAAAAACAGAATGGAAGTCCCTCAAAAAATGAAAGATGTAACCACCCTATGATCCAGTAATCCCATTTACTTGAAGAGTATGAGCCACTATTTCAAAAATATATACACTTCTATGACCATTCTAGCCCTGTTCACAATAGCTAAGATATGTGAGTATCCAAGTATCCACCTGTGGATGGTTGGATGATAAACATGTGCATAGAATATATGCACAATAGAATACTACTTAGTCATAAGTAAAAAGAAATCTTGCTATTTGTGACAACATGAATAAACCTTGAGGTATTTGTCTATGTAAAATAAGACAGAAAGAGAAAAGCAATAACATGATTTCACTTGTTTGAAATATAAGGGGAAAAAAAGAATAAAATAAAATCCTTAGACTGTGACAACTGAGTGGTGGTAACAAAAGAGAAAGGCTGGAATGGAGAACAGGTAGAAAGGGCAAACGAGTAATGTGGTAGATAGCTACCGGACATTTGGTGGTGAGCATAGTGTGCTTTTATAGTTGTTGAGGTGAGAAACTCTATACTTGCAATCTGCATACTATTTTAAACTAATTTACAAAAAAAAATGAGTCATTTGTTTCTTTATATGGATATTTAGTTTTTCTAGCATCATTTGTTGAAAAGATGCCTTTGCTCATTGAATTGGCTTAGTAACAATTTTTAAAACTCAGTGACTAGAAAAGTATAAGCTACGATAGACTCTTATTTTTGTACTATTGATCTGTGACTTTATTAATACTTTGAAAAACTATCTAGAGTGCTTATTGAATACTGACACCTTGGAAAAACCTTTCCCATTCATGTTGTGAGGGCATTTTTTCTTACAATCCATCTGTAGCTGATGTTATTTGGAGGCTTTTTTTTTTTTTAAGATTTAATTAATGGTGCATACAGAACTGGGGTACAGGCCAAAGATACAGGGCAGTGAGAGGCTTCACCAGAGACAGAGTGGGGAGCAGAACAGGCAGATTGACGAAGCACACTGCTGAGGGGAGCAGCAGGTGGGCCAGAAGAGAACTACCGCTCCATGTGGTCACCTCCAGGGCCAGCAGGGATCGAACTCTTGCTGAAGTGGCTTTAGCTTTGGCTTCTTACTGCTGTGCTTTAACCCACTGTGCCACCAAGGAGGGCCTATGTGGGGGCTTTTAAGCTTGATCCTGTACATGACTATTTGTGTCATGTGAAATTCCTCGCTTTTTAAATTTTATTTGTAAAGATGAGAAAGATCTTATTTAGTACTGAGTTCTTAGGTGTGGTTTTTTGTTTTGTTTTTCAGTAGCATAGGTTTTTTTATACATATATCTTAAGAAGCTACATAGACCAACAGATTATGCACCAAGAAAAATGTCCTAGGTCCTTGGTATAGGAAGAAGAAGAAGAGAAGATGTAGTCATATAGAAGTCATGATCTTTTTTAAATAATAAAAACTTACTAGAACCTTGCATGCCCTGTTCTTAATACTTCTGTCATATGTGTAAGTTACATTTAGCAAATTTTATTAGCATTGTACTGAATGATAAGGGCATTTTACAGAGACACTAAGTACAAGAGTAAGAAATTAAGTAACTTATTTGTAAAACCTGTGTTAACTAAATTTAAAATAGTTAACCTTGAGACATTTAAACTGTATTATATGTTCTTATTTTTCCTAGTAAAATGAATGAAAATAAACCTGATTCACAGAACCTCGGTAAGTAATGACTTAAAATATTTGTGCTTTTAAACGTTCTACTTTGCTTTCCTACTTTTTTAATCTATAGACTTTGACACTAATAGTTCTGAAATGGAATAGTCCATAGTTATCTTCATGTGTTTGCCAAATGCAAATATCACACATAATCTTTTGTGTTTTTTTTACCTAAGATTGTACAAATACCATTTGTATTTTACTGATTGATTCATTTTTTTAAACTTGTGTTTTTACTTTATTATTGTAATATAATCAGTATCATTTGCTATAGCAGAGGTGCTCTTAGTAAATATAATGAAGTTTACTAAATTTTCAGCATTAAAGTTAAACAAAAAAGCAAATGAAAATAGAAATAATCTACTTATTAAAACAAACAAACAAAGTCTCTTCTGTATCCAAGTTCTCCAGGGAGTAAAGGAACAAATGGGAAGATAGACACCTGTCAATAGCATATCACAGATTGCACCTTTATTCAACATTAATCATGATGATACCTCTGTGTAGTCTCAGTCTAATTCCTTGTTCCTCTGGTGGCTGAAAGTATAGCACTAAACTGAAGGAAATAGAGTGGGAACTGCTGATATAAGATGTCCAATAAGCAAATGGCATTGATGTAATTAATGTGGTCAGTTACTTTTATGTGAGAAAGGAAAGGGCACTGAAATTTTTTAAGATTAGAGGAAGGGATTTTCAATTATGGCTTATCTCACTGAGTTGGAGTAATGAGGGGGCAGCTATTTTAAGGGAATATTTCAGTGATAAATATTAGCTTACGGGCTAATATTACGGGAATCTAATTTTTGAGCAAACTATTAACAAATATAGTACCTTCTCAACATATAACATCAAGTGTTATTCAAAGTAAGTAAAACCAGCTGCTGTAATAGAAAAATTTTGAAGTCTTACTGTTTTAACACAATAAAAAGCTTATTACTAATGTCCAGTGTGGATTGATTAGGAGAGATGGGACAAAATGGAACTGTCTGTTGAATGTAGTCATTTATAGATTTGAGCTCCTTCCATTTTGTATTGGCTTGTTACTTAGAACCTCAGTCTTTTTAGCAAATTATTTTCTCATTGTTTTATTAGTATAAAAACTATACTAATAAAGATCAAAAATTTTCCATACACATCAATAAAATGGAAAATTTTGAAAAATTTAATACTAATGTTCTTTAGTTTTAGCCTTGTTTAACTACTATATACTATTTCATTTAATCCTCTCAAAGCATAATTTGATTCTGCCTATTCTGGATAATACAATCCTGTATATAAAATGGAATCATGTTGTGTTTGGCTTCGTTTACTTAGCATGTTTCTAGACTTAACTATGTGGTAGCATATGTCACTACTTTCCTTTTTGTAAGTGGATTATATTTTATTGCATGATTAATGTATAGGATTTTGTTTATCTGTTCATCTCTTCAGGGATGTTTGGTTTGTTTTCTCTTTTTGTTTGGTTGAAGGAACTCCACAACCATCCAAGAGCCTGAGTTGTTCTTTTTAATTCATTTTTGTGTAGAAGAACTGGGGTATACTACAAAGGTTCAGGGGTGAAAGGATTCACCAGAGACAGAGTGGGGAGCAGAACAGGCATATTTACTGAAATAACACTGTTAAGGGGAACAGCAGGTGAGATAGGAGAGATCTGTTGTACCATGTGGGTTAGCTTCCTGACCTGGATTTGACTCAGGCCATAGCAGTGACAGTACTGAGATTTAATCCTTAGGCTACCAGGGTGGCCCTGTTTTCTTTTTTTGGCTGTTATGAAAAATACACAAACGTTAGTGTCCAGGTGTTTGTTTAAATATTATTTTCAGTTCTTGGGTGTACATTGAAGTAGAATTGTTATTTCATATGGTACTTATGCTTAATTTTTTTGAGGAACTGCTAGATTTTTTTCCAATGTGTCCTACCATTTTATATTTACAGCAGTAGTACTTCAGGGTTCTAGTCCTTGCCATCATTTGTTATTATCTAACATTTGATTATAACCATCCTAGTGAGTTTGAAGACATAATTCATTGTGGTTTTGATATGTATTTCCTTGATAGTTAGTATCATTAAGCATCTTTTGATGTTCTATTGGCTAGTTGTGATCTTCTTTGGAAAATAATACCCATTTTAAAATTTGGTCATGTTTTTATTGTTGAATTTTAAGACTTTCTTATAGATGCTAGATAATTAAACCCTTGTCAGGTATGTTTTCCAAATATATTCTCCCCTTCTGTAGATTGTCTTTTCACTATTAATAGTGACTTTTTTTGTTAATTTTTTAATATAATGATATCTAAAACAGCATTGCTACATCCAAGATTGAGTATTTACCCCTGTGTTTTCTTACGAGTTTTCATAGCTTTGGCCCATACATTTAAGGGGTTTTATAATCAGTTTTGTATTATTTTTATATATGGTATAAGGGTTCATTTTTCCTATCTTGCATATGGCTATCCAGTTGTTCCATTACCACTTGTTGAAGACTGCTTTTCCGCATTGAATTGTCTTGACATTCTATTCAGAATTAATTGACAAAGTTGTATGTATGGGTTTATTTCTGTACCCTTGTCCATTGATGTATATATATATGTCTAGCCTTACACCAACAGCACACTTCATTTCTGTAGTTGTATCATAAGTTTTGAGTCTTCTCTTTTTTCTTTATCTGAATCTAGTTAAAGGCTTCTCAATTTTGCTTTTTTTTTTTTTTTTCAAAATGACTGACTTTTATTGATCCTATAGTTTTTCTCTGTTTCATTTATCTCTAATCTTTATTTCCTCCTTTGGGTTTAATTTGCCACTCCTCTCTAGTTCTTTAAGGTTAAATTTAGGTTATTGATTTGGAATCTTTTTTCATGAAGATTTGCACAGTCCTAAATATCAGTCAGAAATGAAATCTTTTCTAGATAGGCATTTAGCACTAGTCATCTGCATGTTCTCCTTACTTTTCAGTATTCAGCTTTCAAAGCCCTTAATGTCCCGTGTATCCACTTCTAGCTTTTCATTCCAGATCTTTTTGATCTTTCACTTGCTTATACTTTGTGTGGGCTGCTGCAGCTCTCAATCATATATATATTTCTTAAATTGAGAAATGGTCCAGCTTCAGCCCTGAGAAAGTTCTCAGGAGGGTAAAACAAGGGCAAATGTCTGGGACTGTCCTTCAGGGAACCACTACACAACTCAAAACAATCAAATTTGACAGCAGGTCCATATTAACCTTCTCTTGGACAATCCATACCAAGAGCATGAGCTACTATACCTAAGACCGTGGTTCATTTGGAGAATGGAGTAAGGTAGGTTAAGTTAGAATGTCACAAAACTCATCAGAATTTGACCACTTGTTCCTCATTAAACATTTTCCCAATTGTATTTTAAAATTAGATTTCAGAGTTCCTGAAAAGTTAATTTTTTTACTATTTCTAGCACCTTAATCATTGCTTTCTTGGAAGGATAGAGTTTAATTAGAGTTCCCTAACCTATCATTTTCAATAATATTTCTTAACAAGTTGCCTTTTACTTTATTCTGGTAAATTTGGTGTAAAGTGTTGTAGATGGTTTAGAGATATAGGATCCAGGTGTATATTACTACACCACACCCATCACCAAGACACCCATAATGCCAACATAGTCCATTGGGCCCCTTGCTCTTGTACTCCCCCTCTGTTTCCAATAACTTTAATTCTGTAGTTAAAATTTTAGGGCTTGTAATTGGTTTGGTTTATCAGACCCTTTTTTGTTGTTTGTTTGTTTCTCGATTAGACTCATCTATAAGTGACACCATCTTTTGTTTTTCTCCTTCTAATTTCATTTAGCATAACCCCCACCCTCGCCCTCACCTTCCATCCATGTTACCACAAATGGCAAGAGTTTATTTTTTGTATATAGCTGAGTAGTGTTTCATTGTGTGTTTGTGTGTGTGTGTGTGCGTGTGTGTATACACTTTACCTTAACTCACTCATCTCTCTTTAGACACATTGTATCCATAGTTTGGCTATTATAAATAGCACTGTTACCATTTTGTTGTCTTTTAAACTGCACACTAGAATTCATCATACATTAAAGAAAAAAAAGTGAAGTCATTCTATTTTAGAAGTAGGTTTTAGAGTAGCCTTTCCTGCCCACTGTGTCTAGGAAAGCACCGTCTTTCTTTTTCCAAATAAACTTGTCCTTTTAAGATGTTAAAATGGAAAAAAAGGTAGGTTTGAGGAACTTTAGGTTACTGATAACAATATATTGTGGTTTATGCTCTCAAAAAAAAATTGAATACCTCAATAGAAAGAAGCACCAATATCATTACTTTTTTTAAGTTTTAAAAATATTTTTATAGCTATTTGCTTTCTCACTGTTAGCGTGTGTCTTCTGTCGAAAAAATGATGACTGTCCTAATAAATATGGAGAAAAGAAAACTAATGAGAAATGGAATGTCACTGTACATTACTATTGTTTGGTAAGTATCACTGATAATTAAAAACTAGAAATTTGATATTCTTCTAAAGAAGAGAGTTAGAATTGTAACTTGGTGGATGGTTTCTGAGAATTGGAAAGTCATTTTACTTCTCTGGATGTCATTTTGCCAAACTATAAAAATAAGATTTCATTTATCAAATTCAAAGATGCTGAAATTACTTGGTATGTGTAAAAACTCATCATCATTACTATTTATTTTTGTCTAATTCTTTTAGTGGCTAAATAGAAAAAGAAGAAAATGTCTCTAAGGGACTTGTTCTCTTTACCACTGGTTTCCATTGTTGCTTAGTGATAAACTTGTTTGAAGGTTTAAGATTAGAAAGAAAGTATTTTACTTTGCAGAGAACTTGGAATGAAAAATTTTAACAAAATTATTAAATATGTGTAAAAGGAAATAGGTTAGTGTATGGATTACACAAAACCAAGCCTTCTCTATACCAACTTCTCACCTGAGTCTGGTATTAGTGACTACATTACAGCAGAGTTACATTAGTATGTACTACTTCTTAACACTTATTTTTATATACTGTTATGAAGCAAATTAGCCTGAGATTTAGCAATTTAACTGGCATCTGTTATCTGAAATTCCAGGTCTATTATCTCTTAATTCATTGTCTCTCTGAGCTTACTATTGAAGTCTCATTCAGGATGTAGTAATCTGAAACTTTATATGTACTAGAGGATAGAGTTCTATGGCTCACATGCCTTATAACCTCAGTTCATCCTTCCAGTTGCAAGAGGCCCTACTCAGTTCTTTACCTCAGTGGCACTTCTGCAGGTCTGCTTAGGGTGTGGTATCTGACTTCTCCAAGCAGGTGGTAAGAGTGGAGGAATAGGGGAGAAGGAAGAATATACAAAGACAGGACAGTATGTTGTAGTCTTCACAGCATATACGTTTTCTGTTGCTTTAATTCTGTATATTGAAAGTGAGTCATTATATAATCCTATACTCAAATTGGGGGAGGCAATTAGAGCCCACCTCTTAAAAGGAGCATCAGCATATCTGTGGATATATTTTTATAGCCACTATAATATCCATGTTAAAACTCTAGGTACTTGAAAAGCCATCTAATATTTTCCCTAGTAATTCAGCTTTGTGTCTCAAGTACCCTGTAGGGTATAATAGACTTATCCACTGATTTAGAATCCAGATCTGTTTGGTTTGCCACATGATTAGAGCCAAAACCTAATACATGTCAATTATAATTTCATTGAAGTTTTCCTTGCATTATCTTATTTTATTAATATAGAATGTTACAGATATGTAATTTTTTTTATTCTACACAAGTTTCTTAGAGATAATTTTCTAATAAAGAATATGTTCATAGTTGATGTCAAGTGGAATTTGGCAAAGAGGTAAAGAAGAAGAAGGAGTTTATGGTTTCCTGATAGAAGATATCAGGAAAGAAGTGAATAGGGCTTCTAAACTGGTAAGTAAAATTTTACTCATTACAGTAACTATCATAAATATTGTTTGTACTAGATTAGTTCTTTCCATCAATTTCTCTATTAAAATTTATTATTTGATTTTACATTCCAATACTTTACATTGTCAAAAACAGTAAATTTTATAAAAACATTTTGTATTTTTATAACTGAAAGAGAGCTTAACTGTCTCTGGATAATATATATGGCAGTAATTAATTTTACTTTTTATCTTATCCCAACTGATCCATCATTTCCCTATTCTTACTATCAGAATTACAACCATACTTCCACCCTGCTGTTTTTCAAGCCCTCAGTTTGAGTCAACCCAGTCATTCATCTATTTTCATCCTAACACCTCAGTTGCTGGGTTAGAACTATAACTTGAGGTGGAAATTACACAACTATACAGACCAATACAGACTATAATTTGTGATCTCTACATGTCTCCTATAACCCTTCTGTGTCTTTGGGTGCTTGTGTTCAATGCTTTTGCCTGTCTTCCAAGTTAAGTATTTTAAACTTTAACCATTGTTTAATAGTTACAATTTGTGAATCTTCTGTATGACAGCTGCTGTGTTGTATGTAGGAAAGAATTATAGTTCTTCATGTGGTCTCTGTAAAAGTATTGAGAGAAAGAGAAGGTTAGAAACATAGAAGAGTTCTATTCAGAAAATATGGTGCTGGAATTGATGGTTTCCATAGTAGAGTAGTATTAGATAGTAAGAGGATTTAGCATTATACAGAAAGATGAAGATGATTCCATCAATGCTGAAATTTAGAATAAAAGAATTAAAATGCAGGCAACGGGCCAAAGATTTTTGGTGACAGGATAGATATGGTAAGACTCAAAAGACCAGATATATTTTAAGATGACAGTGGCCTGTAGTCTGCAACTGAGAACTAAAATAATAGTTTCTTTTATCCCCTTTTTACCCCTCTCTACACCCCACTCTTACTCCTTACCAAGTCTGGAAATTAAGAATAGGAAAATAAGTAAGCACCTTCGTTTGAGGAAATTCTATGAGGGAAGTATAAAAAGACCGTTATTTTAGTTGAGGCAAAGCAATAGAGGCACTTAGTTTTGAAGATGTTGAGGATGTAAGGCAGTTGTTTATAAAGTAGTGATTCCAGAGCACAAGGGAAAACCTTGCAAAAGAGAAAGGTTAGCAGTGGCATTTTCTAAGGATCTTGTGAGAGTACTATATCAGAATTACTCAAGCTTCTGGATAACAGTGAATCTGTTATAAAAGATGGCCTTTAAAGTCACCCATAATAGTTTGGAATAACATGTTTCTGAATCTCCTCTGAGTATATTTGGGTCTCAGCAGTTAAGACCATATAACCTCTTTATCAGTGACTACTGTAATATCCTATGGTTTTAAGATGTTTTAGATATTGCTCTGTATTTTAGTAATGACTGGATCATAATAGTCTTTCTGTTTAGATACCACTATTATATTTCAATTAATTATTCAGTATTATATTCCTATCCTAGGGTTGCCATGATATAATACCAACTGGATCAGAACACATTTTCACAATTCTAGAGACAAGAACTTTGAGAAAAACAGGCTGTCAGGATTGATTCCTTCTATAAACTCTGACAGAGAATTAATTCTTTGCTCCTCAAAGCTTCTGGTGACACCTAACAACCTTTTACATCCTTTAGCTTGTGGCAGCATAATTCTATGCTCTGTTTTCATCTATACATGACCTTCTTCTCTGTGTCTAAAATGTTCCTCTCCTTTCTCTTAGGACACCAATCAGTTGAATTAAGGACCACCCTAAATCTAAGATGCTTTGATCTTGAAATATTTAACTTAATCCACAAAGACCTATTTCCAAGCAAAATTCCAGTCTTAAGTACCCAGAACTAGTACTTTGAACATAACTTGGGGGGTAACTCTTTAACCTAAGTATAGAACAATTTTTTCATTTCGCATTTTTTTGGTTAAAATAAAGTTATTAAGCTCTTTTTTATATACATTAGTTTTTTAGTATTGTTTTGCTTTTCTCCTTGGTGAAGAATACTTAGGCACTTACTGTCAAGACTGAAATGAGAGTTCATGCATAGCCATTGTGTTTATAAACCCTTCATATTAAAACATTTTATTTAAGCAAGGAAAAAAAGCTTCCTTCTCTGTTTTATCTACATGTTAGGTTAGAGATACTTATCAGAAATTGTTACAAGGACACTCTTTGGTGTAGAACAGTTTTTTCAGGAAATTTAATATACAACCAGTTGTTAATGTGATTAAAAGTTTGGGACTTCTCCCAAGAAATATTCATAATACCTTGATCATAAGATAATATTAAAATTTCATATATTATAATTCCTATTTCTGTATTTTCTTCTAGAAATGCTGTATTTGCAAGAAAACTGGTGCTTCAATTGGATGTGTTGCACCTCGATGTAAACGAAGTTACCATTTTCCATGTGGACTTCAGAGGGAATGTATTTTCCAATTCACTGGCAATTTTGCGTGAGTTAACTAACTGTTGAATGTGAAAGGTGGATGTTAAAGAAAAGTAGAACATACATATTATATCACAATAATATATAGTTCCTTTGAAATTTTCTTTTCAAAACTACAGAGTTTTTACATAGCCATTACATAATTTCTCCCCTTTTTGTGGAGCCATTTCTGTCTACAAAGTCTTAAAAATTGCCTTGTCTGAAATGGACTTATTATTGATTATTTTTTTAACTTTCATTCTAGAATATGATACAGAATTGTTAATTTCTGCCTTATGTATTCTAAATTTATGTTACTTTTTAAGCTTAGTAGTCTATTTTTTGTTCATGGGGTTATATGTATTTTTCATTGAGTAAATTAAAGGTATGTTAATTTGGTAGAATCCAAAAAAAAAATGTATTATACCCTGGCATGCCCTGGAAAATATTTGCTTTAAACATCAAGATTTTATGAATTTCAGCTTTTCGTCTCCTGAGTGTTCTTTTTCTTTTATTCATGTTCTTGACCATTTAATGGATTATCACCATGTGAGGAAACTGCAGTTTAGAAAAATCAATTGAAAATAAAATTTTTTGTGGATTAGATGTAATTATTTATATTTTATTGGTTATATGATTAATAACCATTTACATGAGCTAAAATACTAAGTTCCTTCAACTTTGTACAGTATTGAGCTCAGTGGTTTCTACTGTCCAATTTCTGTTGCTAACACACATGGGAATTTAAGCATAATGTTAATTATTGAAATTATTTAAGGTAAGTCTTAGCACCAAAAGGTTCATGTTTTGAAAGTCCAGTTCTTCTTGGATATAGGTTGCAAGCCTGATTTTATTTGTTAAGTCATTTGTAAGTTAATGATGAAGAATTTTCTCTTATAAATGTGAATTGTAATGCTATCCTAGTAGTGCTTTGTAATTTATCAGATGCTATTTTAAATAATTTGCATTTTAGGTCATTTTGTTGGAACCACCGACCTGTTCAAATAATTACGTCTAATAATTATAGAGATTCCTTACCATGCACCATTTGCTTGGAATTTATTGAACCTATTCCAACCTATAGCATATTACGAAGTCCTTGTTGTAAGAATGCTTGGTTTCATAGAGACTGTTTACAGGTAAGACTGATACTCTTGTTGCTTACTGATTTGAATTTTGAATGGAAAAGATTGATCTATGGATTTTAGCTTGCTTACTCCATTGTAACTTTTAAAAAGTCATTAAAATAATATTAATATATGTAATTAATAGTTTTTTCAATGCACTATTCTAGTCTATTTTTTAATTTACTTATTTTTTTAAGATTTATTTATTTATGCATACAAGAGCTAGGGTACATGCCAAAGGTGTGGAGGGGGAGAGGACCCAACAGAGACAGAGCGGAGAGCAGAACAGGCAGATCTACTGTAATACACTGCTGAGGGGAGCAGTGACAAAGACTGGAGACGCCTGCTGAGCCATGTGGGTCACCTTCCTGTCATGGGATCAAACTCCTAAATGAGTGGCTGGGAATAGCTTAAGCACAGGATTTTAAACATTAAACTTTTTGATTCAGAAAATACATGAAAACTAGATCCCAGTTATCAATTACCTCAAATGCAGTATACTATAAATGCCAACTGGTAAATTTATACTTAATAACATGCCAAATGACAAAGGATTTGCTTAAGTTTAACTCTGATTTTTAAGGCTTAGCTTTTATTGTTTAGTAAAATGATATGTATATTTAAGTATATTATATTTAAGAGTATTCAGTTAAAAGTAGCAGTATACTAGATACTAAATTTTTACTAGATACTAATACTAAATTTTTACTAGATACTAATTTTTACAAGATACTAAAAATTCTGTTAATTCTTACAAAGTTTTTGTAAAAGAAAGTAGAGAATGCAGTTCATTAATAGTGTTGTAAAATGTTATTTATACCTATCGAGAAAGAAATTCACATTATATCAGAATCTTTAAAAAGTGATTTAATTAAGGGTTTTTTTTTTAAAGATTTATTTATTTGTGCATACGAAACTGGGGTACAGGTCAGAGGCTCAGGGGTGGTGAGAGGCTTCACCAGAGACAGAGTGGGGAGCAGAACAGGCAGATTGACGAAGTACACTGCTGAGGGGAGCAGCGGGTGGGTCAGGAGAGGTCTGCCATGCCATGTGGTCACCTCCGGGGCAGGCGGGAATCGAACTCATTCGGAATTGGCTTTAGTTTCTTAGTGCTGTACTTTAACCCCCTGCATCACCAGGGAGGGCCCAGGATTTTTTTTTTTTTTTAAGATTTATTTATTTTTGCATACAGAACTGGGATACAGGTCAGAGGTATAGAGGGTGAGAGGATTCACAAGAGACAGAGTGGGGAGCGGAACAGGCAGGTCAACAAAGTACGCTCCTGAGGGGAGCAGCGGGAAAACAGGAAGGGTCTGCTGTGCCATGTGGGTTGCCTCCCTGGCCAGAATTGAACTCGTGCAGCAGTGGCTGCGATAAGTTCATAGTGCTCAGACTTAATCTCTTGTGCCACCAGGAAGGGCTAAGGGATTGTATTTAAATGAATTTAATTGTTCTGAAATATATCATCCTGTTAATTTTGTTAAAGTGTTATTATGTAATAGTATGTCACATTTTTTTGAATTTGTTGATGTTATGATAAATAAATGTGCCTTGTTATATGTTAATGAAAGAAAGAAAGAAAATCTCAAATTTAGGGGACCTCCCTGGTGGCACAAGAGGTTAAGTCTGAGCACTATGAAACTGTCCACTCCTACTGCAGTGCAGGTTTGATCCCCTGTCAGGGGGTAGATCCATATGGCACATCAGACCTCTTCTGCCTCACCCACTGTTCCCTCAGCAGTGTTTCAGTGGATCTGCCTGTTATGCTCCCCATTCTTTCTGTCTTTGGTGAATCCTCTCACCCTACCTCATCTCTGACCTACACACTAGTTCTTGTATGCATACATAAATACATATTTTTTAAAAAAGTTCTCAGATTTGACTTCTGGGGTTTTTGTGAACACTATGAAAACTCTAGGTTTCTAATTCTGCCTTTAAAAAGGAGAAGTAATATTATTGACAATAAATGTAGATCAACTTTATGCAAATATAACAATCAGAATCACTTGTATACCTGTGATATAAACATTAATAAGTAATTGTTATGAATAGAAGACAGTGCTACTTCTTCAGTCATATTCTTTAAAGGAGCTCCATCTATCCTTGTATATAAGAATTTTTTTTAAAGATTTATTTGTTTATATATATAAAACTGGGGTACAGGCCAGAGGTGCAGGGGCTGTGAGAAGACTCACCAGAGACAGAGTGGAGAGCAGAACAGGCCAATCGATCAAGTATACTGCTGAGGGGAGCAGCGGGCGAGTCAGGAGAAGTCTGCCATACCATGTGGATCACCTCCGGGACCGGGGATTGAACTCATGATGAAGTGGCTTTAGCTTCTTAGTGCTGTGATTTAACCCGCTGCGCCACCAGGGAGGGCTGTATGTTAGAAATTTTAACTGAAATAATAAATGTAGTCTAACTTATCTAGCTAATTATTAATAATACCTGAAGAAGCCACTTTTAAATTCACTGTATTTCATTAATATAAAAGAAGGAATTAACCTGTGCAATAGTATGAGAATTATATGTGTTTAAGTAAATTTCATTATTTGCAACTACTACAAATGCTGTGTACATTGCTACTTTGTGTGAATGAAAACCTTTCATTCCATGTATCTACAGATTTATCATTCTTACTGTTCAATATCCCCATCATTGCTGTGGTCATCATTGCTGCAGAACCAGTCTATATTCTCACCAATGAATGTACTAGGATTCCTTCACTTTCAAGTTACTTGAACCTAAATTTCTCCTTCACTTCTTTCTACACCATCCAAAAACCAGTCCCTAAGACAGTTTCATCTGTCTTCTTTGTTTTCTTCAACAGAGCTTTTTAGTTTTTAATTTATCAGTTCCTTACCCTCTTTGTTGATTTCCCAGTACTTGTTCTTTTTTAGCTCTTTGGTGAAAAACTCTTTTTTCCTGAATCTCCTTTTTGGGATCTTAGACTTACCTGCCTGCATTTGATTGACTAGTAGCCCACATAGACTAGTTAATATTTTACAAACAGTTATTATTGTTGTTTTTAAAGTCTTTGTCTGGTAAGTTCTCTATTTCTTTATCCTTTAAATATGACCTGAAACTTCTCTTTTCATCTTTGTTCAAACGTGCCTTATTTCCTAGGCATATTTATCATCACCTTGTTTGTTTTTGGTAGTTGGGGTATTGTGGATTTAGTTTTGTTTCTCCTTCATTCACCGTGGTGTGAAGTATAAGTGGGAAGGAAGTCTGGGGCTTAAACACTTAGTCTCAGTTTTGTTGAGAAGTGAGATTTGTCACCTCCATCTCCTCTTTATTCTACAGCAAGCTCTGTTTGGTGCTTTGGTTGTCTTATTTTCTCACTTTGCTTTCTTGCTGCTTCATTTTGCCATGGATCATGATTCTGTGAAGCTTGAATCTCCTGAGCAGAGAGTATAGATCGTATCTACAGGGCTCATGCTCTAGGATTCAGTTGGGTATGACTAGCAGGGAGCACCTGAGTGGGGCTTGTGCCTTGTTGTCCACTTATAGATCATAAGCAATGGCTGCCATCACTGGTGCTTTACCCTTCAAGGAACCTTGAATGTAAGTGCTGCCTGTCTGGTTGGTACTTTAAAGAGACTGGTAATATTCTCTTACCAATCCCTCCTACTGCTATTGATCACATGTTGAGCCCTGCCAGGCTCTGCCTGAAAACGCTGATATCATACATTGGGAAAAGATAGAGAGGAAAGCTTTCCTTGCCCACATTGTATATCAGAACTCAGTATACCAGGCCAGACCCACACAGTGGCCCTGCACTCATTTTCTGAAAATTCCTAATGAAATTCACTGTGCCCTGGGAGTAGCCCTTAGGGCCATCAGGCTGTGACAACTACATTCCCAGCCACAGTCCCCATCACCTGCTTTATTTTCTTCATTTGTATTGTAGCATGCCATCAACCTTAGTATAAGTCCTTCGTTGGAAAGTCCAATGACTTTGTTAGGGAACTTTCGTATCTTCCTTTGAGCAAATATTTTTATACATGATTAGAGAAGGAAGTTATCTCAACCTCTATTCTGCCATTAACCATCATTTTGGTCTTTCCTGCTACCTTTTACATTAAACCCTCTGCTTAATTTAACTTCAGGTACTTATTAAAGGTAGACTTCTATTAGAGGCTACCAACTCACTTTCTCCTGCATTCTTTGTTCTTTATCAATTCTTCATACTACTGCCTTTGACTTGTCTAGCCTTATCATTTAGTTCATTATGGCCACATGTCGCTCCTAAATATATTATCAGTTTGTTCCCTAATCTCATGTGCTCTTTCTTGCCACTGAGACTTGATACATGCTATTCCCAGGTTTGGTTTTGTTTTTTTCTATTTTCCTAGCAAACCCCTATTCTTCAAATATGGTGAGTTTTGACCTCACCATCTCTGAAACATTTTACCAAGCTCTTCTATAATCTTAATGCTTCTTTCTCTCTCTTCCATGGGATACTTAAAAAAAAAAAATAGTCTGTATTATAATTGTATACCTATTTATGTACCCAAAAATTCCTTGAAGTAGGATCTCAGTTATTTTGTTTCTATTTTTTGTATATTGTATTTGGGACTATATAATAAGGTAAATGTAATTGTTAGATGAATATGTGCTACTAAGTTTTTTAAGTAGGGATTAGCTACTCTTTCTGGTAAGTTTTAGGTGTCTCCTTCTAAGAACCTTCTTACAGCCTCTGTTAGTTATATTGTTGAAGCAGTTAGAATGGGTTTTATACTTCTCCCTTCTTTGGAAGAAAACTAAGTTAAGAAACTGAGTTAAAAGCAGACCTAAGGATACTTTGTAAGTAATACCTATTTAAACATTCTTCCTAGTTAAGTAACTCAAAATTTTTGTTTTATTCATATAGAATGATGAGCAAAACAATATTTGGGACTAAAACTGACATTAGATAGCAAAGAATATGTACAAAAAATTATGAATAGTCAATTTGTAGTTTTTTCAACTAATTGGGGAGGAGTCTCTAAATTTTTTCAGTAAGATAACCCACTTAATCAAAGGTTGAGAACAATTTGCATAAAAAGTCAGGTTTTATAATATGTTAAGGGAAGAGCACTTATTCTGTTAGCAATATAATTTATAGCCTATTCAACTGTTAACAATTTTCTATTTTCCACTGTAGGTTCAAGCAATAAATGCAGGAATGTTTTTCTTTAGGTGCACAATATGCAATAACAGTGATATATTTCAGAAAGAAATGTTAAGAATGGGAATTCATATTCCTGAAAAGTAAGTAACATTGTAAAGCTTTTTGACAAAAAGGTGCTTTGATTATATGATTTAATAACAAGAAATGATCATTTTTATCTTCATTGTGAACAGTGGTAAGCATTTCAAATAGAAACAGCCCCTTCTCACCCTCCCCAGATGGTCATTTCTTAAGAGCAAGGACTGTGACTTATTGTCTCACTAGTTGATGTATAGTCTCTTAATAAGTACCTCACTTGTATATAATAATTGATTGATTTATACATAAGTATAATAGACTTCAAAATGGTGTGTATAAATTACCCAGCAGAGTCAAGGTATGATTTCAAATATATTAGAAGAATTATCTTAATAGTTAAAGATAAGGAATTCGGAAGTAATTATATTAAACTTGAAATACAATAGTTTAAGGGTAAATATTGGGGAAAATACAACTTTAGAAAGTTTCTGCTTAACTTTTCATTTAAAATTCATTATGATACTAACTGGAAAATAAAAGACACTAATGGATTTCTATCTTGAAGAGTATGAATAATCATAAAGGAAAGAATTTTTTTTTTCCTAATTGAAAAGCTTCTATTTTTTTTTATTTCATTATCCTTTTGGTAATATCTTAGATCACAATATATTTTATTTGCCATATTTTCAGAGATGCATCCTGGGAATTAGAGGAAAATGCTTATCAAGAGCTTCTACAGCACTATGAGCATTGTGATGTACGAAGATGTCGTTGCAAAGAAGGCCGAGACTATAATGCACCTGATAGGTATATCTAGCTAGAAGTTCAGTTGTGCTTAGTGTCCTTAATTTGAACTGAGAAAATAGATTTTCTAACTAATGAGACATAGTTTGCTTCTACTCTGTTTGCAGCTTTAACTCGAGATGAGGCATATTTATTAAATGGATATTTACATTTGTTTTACAGAGAAATTTCAGTGAAAGTAATTAAGACATTTCTATGTTATATTTTAATGAGGCTCTACTTTCTAGAGCTGCATTGCCTTGTACGATAACCATTTGCTGTATTTGACTTTTAAGCACTTGAAAAATGACTATATTGAAAATTGAGAGATGATGTAGGCATATAATACACATCTAAGACTTACAATAGGTCTTAGTTTGCTAGAACTACCATAACCAAATACCACAAACTAATTGACTAAAACAACAGAAATCTGTTACTCACAATCCTGAGGAGGTTAGGTTTCTAATGAAGCCTTTCTTCTTGGTGTACATGTGGCTCTTTGCTACCTTTATCCTTACATCAGTTTCTCAGTCTGTGTCCCTATCTCATTTTTTCCTAAGGATACTTGTTACACTGGATTAGATTCCACCCATATAACCTCATATTATTTAAATGAGCACTATAAAAGCTGTTTACAAATACAATCATGTTCAAGGTATTGGGAGTTAAGACTTCAACATGAATTTTAGAAGGACACGTTTAAGCCCTTGCCAATGAAAAAGAAAACAATTTAAAATATATTGTTAATAATTTTTTATAGTGATTACATAACAAGCAAAATTATAATATTTTGGGAATATTCAAATTTATTTTACCTGTTACTTTTATCTTTTTAAATCTGGTTATGAGAAAATTTTATGTATTTATATACATACACATATATGTTTTGCATAGAATTTCTACTGTATGGCACTATTCTAGAGGCTAGTTGAACAAAATTAGTCTGACAAGTGTTTTTTTCAACCCCTCTACAAAGGATTTGGCATTTAATTTTTTCATAGCTTTTATAATCAAAGATAACAACTATCAGTAGACATTATTTCTAATCTTAATTAGTAGTCATTCTGTGCTTTTTATGTATACTATGTCATGTTGAGTACTAGAAATCGAGTGTCTTCCATTTTTTAAGATGTGTAGTAAGCAGTAACAAATTTAGATTTTGTTATCAAAATTTATGTAGGAAATATCAGTAGGAAATATCAGTTTGGTGTCACAGTGATGCAGCCTTATGGCAAACTGAAACTTAAAGCATAGAGCAAAATATTGGGAGCCTTGTTTCTCATGGTTTATGATTTAGCTGGTGAGCTACTCTGGTGAAGACTCAGCTAAGGTCTTACCAACTTTGACATGTGACCCCTCAGCAGTTCTTTCCACACTTGACTCCCCGTTCTTGATTGAGTTTCCTCCATTGTGTTTATTCAGATATAGTGAATATATTTATCTTTGCCATTCGACTAGAATTTCTTAACTGCAGAGTTCTCATTTAAAATGTCAGGTGACCTGTATCCTTAAGCATGTTACTTGACTTGGCAACATTATTTATTTATTGATAAACAATAGTAATAACACCTCAAGGGTTACAAAGGAGTCAGATGGGATCTTGTGATTTGTGCATATAAAGTACTCAAGTTCTGAGAAGCAGTGTTGATAGTTTCCAAATTCATTTTATGCTTTAATAATGTGTATTTTTTTATATAACACTGATCATCCATTCAGTAGCTACTAAACTTTTTTTTTTTTTGCCAGTAATTCAGTAATTACCTGGCATTGATAGCCTTTGCCATATATCCTAGGATACAAATACTTGCTATTTGAATGTGTTCTTTGTAATCTCACTCCCTCTCATCCTGATAAGAAGGCAATTTAGCTCTAAGATAGCATGGTGTAGTAGTTATGAGCATGGGTCTGAAGCCAAGTAAAATAACTGGAAGCCTCACTCTGAGTCTCACTAACAGTGTACTTGTTTGAACAAATCAATTAACCCTTTATGCCTTCGTTTATAAAATGAAGGTAACAGTAATGTGAGAATTAAACCTCTCAAATAGAGTGTATAATAAGCATTCACCATAGCAGTTATCTTAGTCATCAGTTGGCAAAACTTTCAGGGACGAGGGAGAGACTCACCAAAAAACACACCTGCATTTCCATGTTTTGAAGATTTGCCCATTACCACATGGACTGCTATCCATATACGCAGAGAGCATATCCATTTCTAGGTTATAGCAGAGAAAGTCTGCTATAACCAAATGAGGAGGAGCCCTCACACCTCACTGCTACTCAGAAATGTGACTGTGCGCTGGCATATGTCACATAATAAAGTAGGGACACATGGGGTTAGGAAGGAGGGCTAGTAGATAAGGGAAATGTGAATATGGGCCAAGTTTTGTTGAGCTGGACAATACTTGAAGTGTTTGAGCAAGTTTTTATAGAAAATGTTTGCCTTGAACAGGAAAGGTAATGTTTTAGGTAAGATAATGTATTTATTGAATGTTTCTTCTGTACCACACAAACTGACAGTAATCACCCCATGAACATAGTTATCTCCAAATATAAAAGAAAAAACATTTCATTTTAATCATATATTTTTTTTGATGTTTATAGTCTGTGCATATGTGAGTATGTACATGTTGTTACCCGTTTGGGTATATGAAATTGGAGGATATTTAGAGAACAAGGTTACAAACATAATGAGATTAAAAAAAAATACTTTAGGAAAAAGGAATGCGGTACCACGGCAGATTATTTTCCTTCTTTGATAAAAGGGTTGTTTGTGGAAGGGGGGTTTGGAAATATGGCCTGTGATTGGGCTGGTGTTTGCAGTTAAACCAAGCTAATATTAAATATACACCTCTGCTTTTCTTAATGTCCTCAGCAAGTGGGAAATAAAGCGCTGTCAGTGTTGTGGTTCTAGTGGAACACATTTAGCCTGTTCCTCGCTACGATCTTGGGAACAAAATTGGGAGTGTTTGGAGTGTAGAGGTATTATCTACAATTCAGGTAACTTTTTTTAAATTTTGAATAAAGCTGTTGTAACTCAAATGCTTATTATTTTAAAGTGTTGACCTGTATTTATTTTGTGCTAACATTGGGTTTTAAATCTGCAGGGAATTTCCAAAGAGCCAAAAAGCATTCTTTACCTGGTTCTAATAATGTGGGAATCACTGATTGTTTGTTGGAAGAATCATCACCTAAGTTACCCAGACAGTCACCTGGATCCCAGCGTAAAGATCTGCTGAAGTGTGTATTTTGAATTAGGAAAAAATATAAAAATCTATTTTAAGAAAATTATGAAAGAAAATGGCTATATGCACCTAGAATATTAGCTGACCTTGTGATAATCTGAAGTATTTTGCAAATAGTAGGAACCAAAACATGATCACGAAATCAATGTAGCCAGCATTAATAAAAGAAAACAGGATGGATGGAATATAAAATAGACTGTTTTGTAAATAAAATGTATATGAAATACTATTTTATTATCACAATGTTAATTTTTTTCTTACAGGTCATTTTCAAGATAATTAAAATATTGATATGTAAAATATTATGCACACTTATGTTACTTTGTTAAAAGAACCTATTTAATAATGAAATATGGTTTATTATTTTTAATTCCTAATCATTTATTTGCTTGATAGTTTATCTATGTTAGAGGTCCAAATGTCTGCTTTTTAGAAAGTCTTGCTAATATTTTTTCATTAATGTCTGTTTCCTCAAGATAGCAAAATAAAGACTTTCAAATTTGTAAATAGTTAAGTAAGGCTAAGTTTATATCTTTATTGTCTCAGGCACGCTTTCAAACGTGTGTAGCATTGCAAAGGAGTTCATAGAGCCTTGCTGTATCCAGTGAGTAAAAAAATAGTCAAAAATAATATTAGTTAAACATGATGACATGCCTTCTTGAGTATCATATAAAACTTAGAAAAATCAAGTGACTTTTTGTTAAATTCTTTGATAACTATATTTGTGACTAGAAGTGGGATATAAAATATTTTTTTAAAAAGAATTGCTGTTTTAAGGTACCACTTTTTATAACTGAAAGGGTTTTTTTTTATAAATTTAATACTGTTATAAATAGTATTCTGAAATAATACTATTTAATACAATTTTTAGTATTTAAAATTATCTTCACATTACTTTTAAATAATCTTAATATTTTCAATTCTAAAGATAATATACCTAGAAAATTTGATTCTATGCCCCTGTTTTAATATATCATCATGTTTTAGAAAAATAACATGGAAACAGGAGCAAGAATTCAACCTGCTTACATAAAGGTATACTTGTGAAGGGTTCCTTCAACTTGAGTTAATGTAAGTAGGGGAACGATAATATTAGAAGAAAAAGTAAAGCCCATACAGTGACTTTCTAATATCTAAGGATGGGAAAATTATATAGTTGATAGAGAAAAATGGCCATGAACATTGCCTCAATTAGGGTTATTTTGAGTACATTAATTACAATTACAGTTGGAAAATAGAGGAAGGGAGCAATTGAGTTAGTCCATACACTTTTAGAGGACTTGTTTAGGTACAGATTGTTGACCCACGTGCCCAGAGGTTTTAATCCTGTTTTACCTGCTGTGGGACTCAAGAGTTTGCATTTCCAGTAAGTTTTCAGATGCTGCTGCTCTGATTTTGGGTCCACTTTGAGAACTACTGGTATAATAAAAAATACTATTTAAAGAATCATGAGTTACGTTTAGAACATTAGCTCTGTGCTTGTTAACTTTATGATTAAAAATATTTAGTCTCCTAAAACTTTAATTCTCATATAAAAGAAAGAAGTAATGTTGGCTCTTATTAAAAGGTCTAATAAACAAATTAAGATACAGTTAAACAGATATGTATTACAGCCATTTGTGAGGAAAAGGAAAGTTTGAGTTTCTTTAATACAGAATACACTGAATTGGTCAAATTTGAATTGATCATTTATCAGTGTTACCACAAATATTTTGTAACATTAGGTTATATTAATTTAGTAAGTGACTGGGAAGAGGGAATCAGTAATTTAGAAGAAAGATTTTTAAATAATTGGGTTTATTTCCAGTGACTACCATTGTCTTCTTTTGGGTAGGAATCGGAGAACTTCCTTTTTAAATTTTTTATTTTCTGTTTTTATTGATTGTGTAATTCCTGTGTGAAATAAAGTACTTTAGAGTACTTATCTCTGTGTTTAAATTCATGTTTTATAGGCAAGGCAACAAATTTAGAAGAGATATTTCAACTATATTAATAGAGTTAGGATTCCAAATTAAAAAAAAAGCTAAAAGATTATATATCAACAAAGAAAATATCTGGAACAATGCCTTAGAAGGATTCAGAAGTAAACAATTTAATCCTGCATGTACAATTGAAGTAGTATATATTAATGAAAATAATAATTTTGGAAGAGAACATCCTGGTTCAAAGCAAGAATTCTTAAGTCTCTTAATGCAGCATCTTGAGAACTCGGCATTGTTTGAAGGATCCTTGTCGAAGAACCTGTCTCTAAATGCTCAAGGTAACTATTTTCCATACCATGTATGAATAAAAAGCTAGCTGGTTAGAACTGGTGCTCAGTACCAGTGATAAAAATGTATATCATTTCCTGATAAAATACTGAAAAAGTCATAGGAAAGGGGAAAATTTAAAAAGTAAATGTTGTAATGAAGCATCTGTTATTTAAGAATATCCAGTTCACCTCTTTGAAGTGATTCCATGATTAAGTATGCTTCTTAAAAGTGTATTTTTTATTCTGATTTCATTTTATAAAGTAATCATAGATGGATGATAATCTGATCCCATGTTCAAATATTTGGAATTTGAACTTGGCATGTTTATTTACAACTTACCTTTTTTTATAACAATTTTCTAATCCACATGTAAAAATTTTTTTAATGTACTTTTTTTTTTTTTT